CGATGATGATGATGATGATGATGATGATGCTGACGATGATGACGATGATGATGCTGATGCTGATGATGGTGGTGGTGGTAATGATGCTGCTGCTGATGATGATGGTGATGATGATGCTGATGAGGATGGTCATGATGCTGATGATGATGGTGGTGGTGGTTATGATAATGCTGATGCTGCTGATGATCATCATTATGCTGATAATGATGATGCTGATGATGATGATGCTGATGATGATGATGATGATGATGATGATGATGATGATGTGGTGGTGGTGGTGGTGATGATGCTGATGATGATGATGCTGCTGCTGATGATGTTGGTGAACATGATGGGACTGATGATGATGATGATGATGATGATGATGATGATGATGAGGATGATGATGATGATGATGCAGTCGATGATGCGGATGATTCGGAGGATGCTGTTGATGATGCTGCTGACGGTGACGGTCATGGGTATGACCTCGATGAACACGACTATGAGGAACATGATTGATTCGCTGTTGACCATGATGAGCATGCTGATGCTGTTGCTGATGATGCTGATGATGCTGATGATGATGGTGATGATGATGATTCTGCCGCTGATGATGCGGATGATTGTGATGATGATGGTGATGATGAGTATGATGAGGCAGATGATGCTGATGCTGATGATGAGTATCATGATGCTGATTCTGATGCTGATGACGATCATGCTGGTGATGTTGATGCTGATGCTGCTGATGATGAGGCTGATGATGATCATGAGGATGCTGATGAGGATATTGATGAGGATAATGATGAGGAATCTTAGGCCTTCCATGGCAGCTGTTGTGATAGGTCCTGGGAATTTTTATATCACACGTGACCTTGCCACGAGAGTTGAAGCAAGAGGATGAGGATACGCAGGAGGTGGAGGCTGAGGAGGAGGAGGAGTAGAAGGGTGAAGAGGAGCAGGAGGACGAGAAGGGTGTGCACCGTTTTTGCATCCCCTGATTTGAATGTGGTCTGAATTGCGTCAACGTGGTGCGCTCGTGCCGATATTCACGCCGCATTGCTCCAACTTCGCAATCGGTTCTTTGATTCAGGTGTAAGTGGTGTCCGCTAGCTAGCCTACCTTTTCGCTGGCGGTACGCCATAATGTAGGAATTGCAGTTGTGCAGGTAGCAGCTGATACATTGGGCGATCCTTCTCCTTCCTCGTCCTCTTCATCCTCCATTCTCCTGCCTACTCTGCTCTCCCTCCCGCTTTTTTCCTGCCTGTTCTCCTCGTCTTCATCATCTTCCTCCTCCCTGTCTTCTTCTCCCACTCCTCATCCCCCTCCTTCCTTCTTCTTCCTCCATTATCCTCCTTCCTTCTCCGTCTCCTCCTCTTCCTCCTGCTGTGGGCTTAGTTTCGTATGCTTTGTCCCACAGCTACGCGTCATGTTTTGTTCTGAGTGTGCCGTTCCCTCTTGTTGTTTCCACGTCTTACAGTTGATTCGGGTTCTCACGCATTTTCTCTTTCTCCTTAAGGCATGCTGGTTGTACCCCGATCTTCTGGCTTCCGATTCTTCAGCCAGGATGAAAGATCCAGCTGATCCAGAGCAGACATCCATGAGGTCGGCGGCATGTTTTCATTCCACCCTTACACATTTCGTGCTTTGAGCATTGGATTCTCTGGCGACTCACTTCTGGTTCGCCCTCGTTGTTCTTAACATGATCATCCTGCCATCTCCTATTGTGGCTCACCGCTTTCGATCGGAATCATGGGACAAGTCCTACAGAAGCCTAGCGCGAAGCGTCAGTGTCAGCTGTATCCAGCCGTCCGCCGAAGTCTGGCAGGCGCTTGCACACATGATGGTGGACTTGTACTTTCCTGTGTCGCTCACACCGTAGAAGCTACCCCAGGGAAGAGATGTGGGCAGTAAGGGATGCCCGACGTCGTATCTTTTTGTAACAATGCGGCTCCCTAGAGGTATGGACCCCTTCCTGGGGACCAGTTTTGCAACCCGAGCTGTTTTTCCTGAGGGTCTCGTGGCCCAGGGGCGCCGAACATTGCCAGAATTGTCCGCCGCTTTTTTTTTTGTTTTTCCCCAATCAGAGCTTGCCTCTGTAGGGGTCCTAGCGGATTAAAGGTTTAGGTGAGATGTGCGGCCGATTTCGGTGGCCGGGCCCAGGTGCCCGGGTGCCCGGGTGCCCGGCGGTGCCCGGGTGCCCAGTGAGGTTGGTCGCCGATTTCGGTGGCCGGGCCCGGGTGCACCGGTGCCCAGGTGCCCGGGGTGCCCAATAGCCCAATAGCATATAGCCCAATAGCCCAATAGCCCTATAGCCCTATAGCCCATAGCCCTATAGTTTTATAGCCACATAGCCCTCTAGCCCTCTAGCCCTATAGCCCTGTAGCCCAATAGCCCTATAGCCCTATAGCCCCATAGCCTTATAGCCCTATAGCCCTAGAGCTCTACAGCCTTATAGCCCTATAGCCTTATAGCCCAATAGCCCAATAGCCCAATAGCCCTACAGCGCTATAGCCTCATAACCTTATAGCTCTATAGCCCTACAGCCCCATGGCCCCAACAAAAATCGGATTGGGTTTTTTCTCCGGTGTCATTGTATTTTCATATTTGTTTCCTTTTTTTCTGCGGCGAGCATGGCAGGGCAGGGGACGCAGAACGTAGGATGAGGAGGGTGGTTCCCCACGCGATGCAGGACTCTCACAGTCTCCTACAAGAGCATCCGGAGTGGCTCGTGCGTCGAAGCAGGATGGGATGGGATGGGAGGGGAGATGGGGCAGAGACGAGCAGGGTCACGGGTTGTTACATCCTCGGTCTCAGCAGAAAGGGGGGAGGGGGCGAGGAGCGGGATGAGGACGGACAGGAGGATGAGGCTCGGGAAGAGGATGAGGATGTTGATGTTGCAGTTGAAGATGTTGATATAAACGATGATGATGGCGATGGCTGGGACGATGACGATGATGATGATAACGATAAGGTGTTCGATGATGACGGCGATGATGATGATAATGATGTAGATGATTATGATCATGATAATGGTGTTGCTGCTGATGATCATGATGATGGTGGTAATGGTGATAAAGATGATACTGACGATGACCACGATGCTTCCGACTATCATGACGATGCTAATGATGCTAAGTATGCTGCTGACGATGGCGATTATGATTCTAATATTGATGAAAACGAAACTGAGGAATATGATGAATCCGCTGTTGACCATGATTATTATGAGGATGATGAGATTGATGATGATATTGATGATGATATTGATGATGATATTGATGATGATATTGATGATGATATTGATGATGATATTGATGATGATATTGATGATGCTGTCGAACATGTTGACGATCTTGTTGATTACGTTGATGGTGATGTTGCTGCTCTTATTATGACGGTCATGATGGTGATGATGTGGATGCTGATGTCGGTGATGCCACGAATGAATGCTGCTGCTGCTTCTGATGCTGATGATGATGGCGATGATGCTGGTGATGCTGGTGATGATGGAGATGATGATGATGATGATGATGATGATGATGATGATGATGATGATGATGATGATGATGAATCTTATTGTTCTTGATTTTCTTAATTTTTCCATGATTGCAGTTACTATTATCACCATTCAAACTAATGTTTTTATGTTGGTTATGAGTATGCTGATGGTTGTCATCATTCTCCGTAGTACTATTCTTATCCTTCTTATTTTCATTTTTTTTTGCTCATTGTCAGCATTATTCTATTACTTTATTATTATTATAGTATTATTCTGCTTCTGCTGCTGATGCTGATCATGATACTGCTGATAATGCGGTTGATGACGATGACGATGACGATGCTGCTGCTGATGCTGCTGCTGATGTTGAGGATGCTGGTGATGCTGATGATGGTACTGCTGCTGATGCTGATGATTATGCCGATGATGCTGATGATGACGGCGATGCTGATTCTGACTATGCTGATGATGACGATGATGATGCTGCTGATGCTGATGCTGCTGATGATGATGCTGCGGATGATGGCGATGGTGATGGTGATGGTGATGATGATGATGATGGTTGTGGTGATGATGCTGATGCTGATGATGATGATGCTGATGATGCTGCTGCTGATGATGCTGATGATCACGATGATGCTGATGATGATGATGATGCTGATGATGCTGATGATCACGATGATGCTGCTGATGATGATGCTGCTGATGACGATGATGCTGATGCTGATGATCCTGTTGATGATGCTGATTATGATGCTTATGCTGATGCTGCTGATGAGGATGATGATGATGATGAGGATGATGCTGATGATGATGATGATGGTGATGATGATGAGGCTGATGATGATGATGATGATGATGATGATGATGATGATGATGATGATGATGATGATGATGATGAGGAGGAGGAGGAGGAGGAGGAGGAGGAGGAGGAGGAGGAGGAGGAGGATGATGATGAGGATGAGGATGAGGATGATGGTGCTGGTCGGGTATGGGTGTAGTGGTCTGGGAGCAGTGCTCGGCTCAGCCACCATGCATTCGGCGTGCACGGTCGCAAGGGCCCCGCGGGGCGCAAGCCAGACCCAGGCGACGAGGGACGGGTCCGAGACGCCAGACTCGGGCAGCCCCCCGCTATGACCCCTGACGTCTGAGGCCACCAGGAGCATCGCGGTCAGGCCGCCCCCTTCCGCCCGAGCCCTCGCGGGCTCGGCGGACGCGAGAGCCCACGGACCCCGACGGAGGACAGCCGACGGCCGCCCAGGGGCCGTCGGCCGAGCTGTCCGAGCCGCGCCCGGCGAGCCTGGTCTTCGCAGGCGCGGTAAGCAGCGTGCGGCACACGGCGCACGGCGCCGCTCGGCCGCCCCTCCTCTTGAGGCGGTGGCCGAGCGGGCACCGTGCGGTCCAGGGAGACTATTCGGCCTCCGCTGGTGCTGCTGGGGCCGCAGCCGAGGGGTCGGGCTCCGCGACCCTCCCCTCGGGTGGCTCGGCGACTGCCCGCTCCAGGACGTGGGGCTCCCTACACGCCGATCTCCACGCCGAGCTCCCGCTCCAGGGCGATGAGCTGCGCCGCGCGCAGCGCCTGCGCAGGCCTCCGCCGATCCTGGCGCCGCTGGCCGTGATGGCCTCGGGCAGGGCGGAGATGAGCCCCACGCCGCTCCAGGCCGCGCGCGCCAGCGCCTCCACGGCTTCCGCCAGCCGCAGGAGCAGGCCCAGCAGCGCCGCGAGCGCGACCCCCGCGCGCTGCTTGGCGCCACTGTGGAGCTGCCTGCGGACCTCGGTCCGCAGCTCGATGACGCACTCCACGATGTGCACCGTGGGGACCTCGACGGCCTGCTCGGCGAACTCCTCGAGCCACGCGGGGGGCTCCAGTGGCGCTCCCACGGGCTGCTCCGCCTGCAGCGCCATCGGCACCTCCACGATCCTCTCCTGGGCCACGCAGGCGGCCTCCGCGTTGTGCATCATGGCCTTGGCGGCCTCCTTGTGCATGACCTGCGGCACCACCACGATCCGCACGGGGCTCACCTCCCCGTCGAAGTACGGGATCTCGGGGCGGGCCGCCTGAGTCACCACCAGGAGGGCTTGTGGCGCCTCCACGGGCTGCTCCGCCTGCAGACTGTCGGCATCTCCACGGTCGTCCTTTGGGCCATGACCTGCTGCACTTCCGCGGCCTGCTCGCGGGCCTCGGTCGCCAGCTGCGAGGGCCGCTCGACAATGGGCGCTCCGCCCGCGGCGCAGGAGGCGGCCGCGATGGCTGCGGCCACGGCGCGCGCCCCCAGGGCGGCAGCAGTGTCCTGCGCCGCCTGCGTCAGCTCCAGCTCGTCCGCCAGGGCCTGGGCGCGCCGCCGCCAGGAGTGCGCCTCGCGCGCAGTCTCACGCAGCAGCGCCTCGGCCGACCAGCGGGCGTGGAGCCGTCCCGCCTGACGCCGCCGTCGGCGGGCGGCGCTGGGGCCAAGCTCACGTGTGTCGGCAGCCACGCCGCGGCGGGCCGCCTCCCGTTCGCGCACATTGGCAGCGGCCGCCGTGCGCATAGTCGCAGCGCGAGAAAGTCCCCAAACTCTCGAGCCCAATCTTGAGCCAAACATGATGATGATGCTGATGATGCTGCTGATGATGGTGATGATGTTGATGGTAATGCTGATGGCGCTGATGCTGATGATGGTGATTATGATGATGATCCTGATGCTGATGCTGATGCTGATGACGGTCATGATGATGCTGATGCTGATGAGGAGGTTGCTGCTGATGTGGATGCTGATGCTGATGATACTGGTGATGAGGATGCTGATGCTGCTGCTGCTTATGGTTATGACTGGTATCATTTTTTATTATTAATTATCATTATTAGTATGCTCATTCCTATTAACGTTACCATTATGATCAACATACTTGTTGTTGTTATTAGTGTTACTATCATTGTTATTATTACTATTACTTTTACCAAGCCTATTACCGCTGCCATTAACCGTACCACTACTATTACAACACTTGGTTCTTATCAACATGGTTACTAGTCTCATTACTATTGCCTTTCCTATTACTTGTGGTATTATTCTTACGATTACTAGTACTATTCCTATTGCCCTTCCTATTGTCATTAATGTTTCTATTGGTATTGCTATTACTATTCCTAGCACTATTACTACTGCTATCACTATAGCTATTACTATTACTATGATTGTTTACTATTACTATTCATCTTACTATTACTATTACTGTTACGGTTACTGTTACTATTACTATTACTATCACTATTACTATTACTATTACTATTACTGTTACTATTACTATGGTTATGACTGTTAGCATTCCTATTACTATTACGTTTACTCTTACTAGTCTATTCACGATACCTATCATTATTATTATTACTTTTACTATTACGATTGCCACTACTATTACGATTACTCCAACAAATATAATCACTATTACCCTTACTATTCTTATTACCATGACTATTACCATCACTAGTACTATTACTATTACTAGTGCTACTTTTTATTCCTATTACTATTACTGGTCCTATTTGTATTGTCATTAGTATTATTACTATTCCTATTCCTATTACTATTACTATTACAATTACTATTCTTATTACTATGACTATCACTGTTACTATTACTATTACTATCACCATTACTCTTACTATTACTACTACTATTACTATTACGAGTACTATTACTATTACTATTACTATTACTATCACTACTACTGTTACTATTACTATTACTATTACTACTACTATTACGATTACTATTCCTATAACTATTACTATTACTATTACTATTACTATTACTATTACCATTACTATTACTATTACTACGACTACTACTATTACTATCACTATCACTATCACTATTACTATCACTATTACTATTACTATTACTATTACTATTACTATTACTATTACTATTACTATTACTATTACTATTCCTACTACTATTACTGTAACGGTTACTATTACTATTGCTATTACTCTTACTATGACTATTACTATTGCTATTACTTGTAGTATTCGTATTATTAATACTATTTCGATTACCATTTCTATTACTATCACTATTACTAGTACTAATAGTAATACTATTACTATTACTATTTCTATCACTATTATTATTGCTATTACTATTAGTATTACTTGTACTTTTACTTTTACTATTACTATTACTGTTATCATTACTACTACTATTAGTATTAGTATTCGTATTAGTATTACTATGATTATTACTATCACTATTACTACTACTATTACTATTACTATTACTATTACTATTACTATTACTATTACTATTACTATTACTATTACTATTACTATTACTATCACTATCACTATTACTATTACTATTACTACTACTATTACTATTACTATTACTATTACTATTACTATTACTATTACTATTACTATCACTGTTACTATTACTATCACTATTACTATTACTATTACTATTACTATTACTATTACTATTACTATTACTAGTACTAGTACTAGTACTAGTACTATTACTATTGCTATTACTATTACAATTGCAGTTGCTATTACTTTTACGATTACTATTACTATTACCATTACTATCACTATTACTATTACTATTACTATTACTGTTAAGGCCACTTTCACTATTACTACTATTACTTCTACTATTATTAGTATTACTATAATTACTAGCACCACTACTATTACTATTACTATTACTATCTCTACTACTAGTACTACTAGTAATACTATTACTATTACTATTACTATCACTATTATAAGTATTGCTATTACTATTACTATTACTATTACTATTACTATTACTAATACTTTTACTACTATTACTATTATTATTGCTATCCTATTACTATTACTATTAGTATTAGTATTACTATTACTATTCGTATTACTCGCACTCTCACGATTACTATTGTACTTACTGTTAGACTTACTATTATTATTGCTATTGCGATTACTCTTACCATCTGAATCACCAGTACTAGTACCATTTCTAATACTAGTTCTATGACGATTACTATTACAAGTACTATTACTATTAATATATATATATATATATATATATATATGTGTATATATATAAATATTTTATCATTGTTGTTATCGTTGTTTTGGTGCTGATGATGTCGGTGGTTGTGATGATGGTGATTATGAGGAGAATGTTATGGAGGGGGGGAGGACGATGAGGAGGAGGAGGAGGACGACGACGAGGAGGCAAAGCAGCAAGAGGAGGCGTGAGACGTTGAGGAGCGGGAATATGGGGTAGGAGGTCGGGCAGAAATTCGTCATGCCGCCGAACGCGGGGACGATGGCCAGGCGGGGCGAGGTCTTTGATCCTTCGAGATCCTCGATCCTTCGATCCTCGATCCTTCGCTCCTCGATCCTCGATCCTCGATCCTTCGATCCTCGATCCTCGATCCTCGATCCTCGATCCTTCGATCCCTCGATCCTCGATTCTCGATCCTCGACAAAGGGGCAGGCGGAGATGCCATGATCACAGTGCCGCTTACGTAGGGGGGCCGCGGGCAGCGATACGGCCCAGCAAGGAACGGCAAGGGTCGAGGGACCGCGGCCGCAAGGGTCTGAGCATGGTACACGTCCACGGAGAGGAGGAGCAGGCAGGCAGGCAGGCATGCAGGCAGGCAGGCAGGCAGGCAAGCAGGCAGGCAGGCAGGCAGGCAGGCAGGCAGGAGGAGGAGGAGGAGCAGGAAGGGGATGATGATGATGATGATGATGATGATGATGATGATGATGATGATGATGATGATGATGATGATGATGATGATGATGATGATGATGATGATGATGATGAGGAGGAGGAGGAGGAGGAGGAGGAGGAGGAGGAGGAGGGAGGAGGGGAGGAGGAGGAGGAGGAGGAGGAGGAGGAGGAGGAGGAGGAGGAGGAGGAGGAAGACCAGGAGAGAACAGCTGGAGCCTTTTCCGCCTCTTCCATTTGCTCCTCCTCTCTGCCTCGGGAGCAGGAGTGGAACGGCCACTTGGGGCGAGGAGCCGGAGGATCCTCTCGTGGTCCTCTCGCGGCGTGCTTTCGGGAGCCGTCTCGGTGCCGTCTTGGGGGCCTCTTGGGCTGCTGTTGGGGGCCTCGGTGGCTGTCTCGAGGAGGAGGATGAGGAGGAGGGGGAGGAGGAGGAGGAGGAGGATGCAGAAGATGAGGAGGGTGGAGGGTGGATGAGGTCGGAGGAGGTCGGATGAGGAGGAGGAGGAGGAGGAGGAGGAGGAGGAGAGGAGGATGAGGAGGAGGAGGAGGAGGAGGAGGAGGAGGAGGAGGTGTGAAGAGGAGGGGGATGAGGAGGATGAGGAGGGAGGAGGAGGAGGAGGAGGAGGAGGAGGAGGAGGAGGAGGGCGGAGGGTGGAGAAGTTCAGGAGGGAGTAGGGAGGGGTTGGGCCGGGAGTCTTGAGGTCCTCGCTTCTCCTTCTCTCCTCTGGGAGCGCGCGCTGTGCTGGGAGGATTGTACCCCATCACGGACTTGAGCATGTGCGAGCTTGCCGCGGCGGAGCTCGGACAGTTTTTTGTTAACTTTCCAGTCTTCACTTTTGCTCCCTCCGCCTCTCTTTTCGGCTTCCATGCTCGTTCCGTGGGCACGCGTTTGGCTAGGATAGGATAGGACGCAGGTTGCGTCTTGGTGGTAACAGGGTGCGCGCGCTTCTCTCCTAGCGCGCGTATCATTACCCACTCTCGCATTCACTTCGTGGCACATTACAGATATGTCGGACGACATCGCTAAGGACCCATCCATCTACAGGATTCATATGAAGGGATCCCGTGGGTTATGAGATGGAAGCGAGGGAGACGCCCGTTTGCCAGGGAAAGCCGACTTGTTGACGAAAGACAGGTTGTCGACCGACGATTGGATGGGTCAGGAATTTTATGCAGTGCGTCCTGATCAATCACCACAGGAGCAGCCACGTGAAGAGTCGGAGCAACTGCGCTGGGTGGTGGCAGCTCTGCCTCGGGCAGGCTTGGGCGTCGCAGCGCTCGTGTCCCAGAGGGGCCTCCTTCGCGAGGCGCCAGCGCCACTTCGCACTCCATTACCAGCCTGGAACATATCCCTATCCCCATGCTGGGCATCTCCTCATCACGATGCCAATCTTAGGGATTCCCTTCTTTTTTGTGGGCGAATCCCTAAGATTGTCATCGCCTTTTGGCGTGAGGGATAGGGATAAGCTCGAGGCTGGTAGCTCCAGGAGCGCCCGCGAGCATCCCCGGACGACTCCTGCCAGAAGCCCGCAGGGCGGGCGGCGCGTGCACGGGGCACGCTCGTGCCGTGCCGGCGCGGCGGCGGCGCCGGCGCGGGCGTCTGGCATCGGACGCCGCGCCCACGGCCCGGGCTCGGCCGACATCGAGCGATCTGCGCACTCGACACAAACGCCGCGTTAGCTCAGGCACGAACGATCTGGTGAGCGTTTGCT